TGTGTCTGGCTTAGACAGATGAAGACAAATCCTGACAAAGCACTAAGTAATCCGTTTGGTTTGGGATTTTAGAGTAATCAAGAAAAGCCAACAGTGAATTTGGTCATTTCAATACAGGGATGAAACAATTACATTAGCCAGTTAGCATGGCAAGTACATTTCTGCATAAATAGACTTGGGCCCCACAATTTGGTCTGAGTCTGGTTATTTTAATATTCTAATTGAGAGAGATTTCTGTTAATGGCTATATAAGGAAGCTTTTGATTATCAAAACATCTCCCAGTGTGTTGCTAGTTGCCCTGTGAGTGTAGTCATAAAGCCTCACCACTCCATCAGGTCCATCTGCAGAAAGGCAGAGAAGGCCAACAGTTCTGATCTGGTTTCTTGTCATGGTCATAATTGCTTCTGTGGCTTCACAAGCTTGCTCTGCGTACGTCACCACTGTGGATGGATCACAGGCTCATCCCACCACGTCAGAAACTGCCCTCATTCACATTACCAGATCCTCCTCAAAACCCACTGAGCTAACTATTAACGTTCCCTGGAGACACAGCCAGCCTTCCTTCCTTCCTTCCTTCCTTCCTTCCTTCCTTCCTTCCTTCCTTCCTTCCTTCCTCCCTCCCTTCCTTCCTTCCTTCCTTCCTTCCTGTCTGTCTGTCTGTCTGTCTTTTTCTTTTAAAGTAAAAGACCAGGTTTGTTTGGTCTTGTTTGGTGACTCCAGCCACCAGAGTGGGAAGGAGAAAGGAATAGGCAGGAGAAAATAATGGAGACACAATTTCCATTCAGCTCAGAGAGAGAGAGCAGACAGACCAAAGAAAGCACTCCATCTCCAGTGAGTTTACTGAGGTGACCCTGTTTGCTGACCCCCACCCCCACAAGGTTTCTCTGTAGTTTGGGGGACTGTCTGGGAACTAGCTCTTGTAGACCAGGCTGGCCTTGAACTCACAGAGATCCACCTGCCTCTGCCTCCTGAGTGCCACCAACCGCCGGTTCCGTTTGCTTTCTGTTGCTGTGGTAAACACCATGGCCAAAAGCAACCTGGGCAAGAAACGGTTTGTCTTAACCGATCACAGCCCATCTTGAAGGGAAGATGGGGCAGGAACTCAAGGCCAGAAACTGAGGCAGAGGCCCTGGGAAGAGTGCTGGCTTACTTTCAGCTATCTTTCATATTCCTCCCCGGACCTGAAAGGTTATCACTGCCCGCAGTGGGTTGGGCCCTTCCTTCCACATCAACCAGTAAGCAAGCAAATGCCCCCCACAGGCCAATCTAATGGAGGCATTTTCTCAATTGCAGTTCCTCCTCCCAGATGACAGTAGCTGTGTCAAGTTGACAAGCCAGTCCAAGTGACCAAGCCTCCCCATCTCCCCCAATTGTATGCAGCTTATTTGACCCTGAAGAGAGACTCCTGAGGCTTGTCACTTCCCTTAGCTACCTCACTCTCTTGAGCTTCCTTCAATTCTTCCTGCTTCCCTTCAATCCACAGATAATAGAAACCACTTCATAGTTTTAAATGAGCTGGAAATAATGTTTCCAAGCCAGGCAACTGAGGAGCATTCTGACTTTTAGTGGTTCAAATGACAGTGGCCTCCACAGCCTCAGATATTTAAATGTGTTGTGTCTGATTGGCAGAAATGTTTCTGGGAAGGATTAGGTGTGGTCTTGTTGGAGGTGTGTCGCTTGGGATTTGAAATCTCAAAAACCTATGCCAGCCAGGCCCAGCCTCCTCCTGCTGGTGGATCAGACGTAAGCTCTCAGCTGCTGAGCCAGCACTCTGCCTGCGACCTTGTTCCCCACTATGATGGTTACGGAGTCACCCTCAGAAGCTGTGAGCAAACCCCCAATTAAATACTTTCTTTAAGTTGCCTTGGTCATGGTGTCTCAGAGGTAGAGAAGTAAGTATGCCAGAACCTAAATCCCATTCTATCAAGTTCTTAATCACCGTAGCATTTGCCCTTGCCAGTGCCGGCTTTGTGGAGCTCACATTTCGCACACCAGTCACGAGGTAAACTCATGTGGCATTTACATCTAGACAACTACATCACGGGGTAAACCTTTTCATTGTAGAACTCCAAAACTGAACAGACCAGTTCTCTGGGATCCAAAGATCAAAACCAGCCCTGTATGGAAAGAGAACAAACCTTGGTCACACTGCACCGTGCCCCACTGAGCGACACTTCTCTGCAGAAGTGTCAAGTGTGTAAGGAAAACCAAGCACCATATGCTAGCCCAAGTCTGGCCTCAGCCACATCAGAAGTGATGGCCTGGCTCTTGTACAGTCTCGTGCCTAATACACTGGACTTTTAAAATCAGCCTCAGGAACATTATCTAGGACCACAGGCTGTATTGTTTTGCAAGAGCTGTTTCTGATAATAGCTCATTCCAACTTAAAGCTCTCATCAGAAATGGTGAAGAACACAAGTATTTGAAAGGATTTTGAGTATCTCTGCTGCAGGGGTAGCAAAGGTTGGGTGGAAATGGGGACAGTCATCACCTTGTCTCTTGCTCTTCCAGGAGCGTTTCTCATGGGAAGAAGCATAAGACAGATGGGCTAGATTACCTTTGCTCTTATTTCTTCAGGAATCAAGTCCCAGATACCCCCCTCCTATCTTCAGTAAATTAGACTCAAATGGCAAACTAGCACTTAAAAGCTACACGTTTGAGTCTGTAAATGTGGAACTCATGGACAGAGAAGGGCGACTGCATTTATATTGGCTCTAAGTGGCATCACCCACAACTAATTCTTTAAGATTTATTATGTATACAATATTCTGCCTCCATGTATGCCCGCACGCCAGAGGAGGGCGCCAGATCTCATTACAGATGGTTGTGAGCCACCATGTACCCACAACTAATTCTAACAAGTGAGTTTTACTGTTTTGAGACAGTCTCCCTGTGCAGTCCTACCTATCCTGGAACTCAGCATCTTCCCTCAGTCTCCCAAGTGATGGAGTCAGAGTTGTAAACCACACCTGGCTACAAGTCTTTAAAACCCCTACCGCTGGGAAAAGCTGTCCTCCAGGCATGACAAAGGACCTGCCCTGGTCACTCTGAGCACTTGTGATAACCTGCAAGACCTGCACAAGATAGGACCCACCAACTTTGTCACTGTTGGGCTCAATACCTCACCTTTCGCCCCAAGATTTATGCAGTTCATGATTGTGGGGGCCAGGTCTCAAGGTCCCATCCTCCCCTCTCCCTAGGATTTACAAGCGACTATTTTTCTTCAGGGGTACAGCCTGTGTTACCTTATGCTTTTATAAGGACACCCCGTTACTAAGCTACACTCGGGTGGCCACACCTCTATCCCTGTCCTGCATGTCCCACAGCTGAGTAGGTATTGGATCACATCTTCCCTACTCATGTTTACCTTTTTTTGTTTGTTTGTTTTTTTGAGATAGGGTTTCTCTGTGGCTTTGGAGCCTGTCCTGGAACTAGCTCTGTAGACCAGGCTGGTCTCAAACTCACAGAAATCCGCCTGCCTCTGCCTCCAGAGTGCTGGGATTAAAGGTGTGTGCCACCATCGCCCGTCTATGTTTACCTATAATTTAAGTCACAAGGGCAAACCCTTAGTCCTCGTAGACGGCACTTCCCAGTGTAAGCATCTAATGCTAACCTGTGGTACTACAGTCATCTCAGTCCTCCTCACAGGTAGTTTGAAAAGCTTACCTCATCTCCTGACATTGCCCATGATGCCCCTGGAGTCTGTTCTCAGGTGTCAGAGGGAGCAATGTGCTCTTTTCTGAGAAGTGTGTGACCCGATCTTTTAGGATGACCACGGAGAGTATCCATTTGACAAACAGCAGAGACAAATACTCAGACACCGGTTTGTAATGTATTATTTATTTGTCCCTTTTCCTGTCTTCGGGAACCATGAAAAGGGGGGAAATGTGGTTTTCAGGACAGTGGCAACCTAGCTGGCCTCACTCCCAGCTCCCCTCTCCCCACCTGATCCTAGCAGATGGTGTAGACAGCCAATCAACACAGGGGACAAGGGGAAATGGGCCAGGCACTGCAAATGAAGACGAAGACTTCAATTCTGACTCCCAGGAAAAAAATGAAGCCGAATGAAACCTACTCTGGGGTGGTTTTTGTGGATCCTGTGGGCAGAATGAGTTGCTGAGGATGGAATGGAACGGCCAAGGGAAGAGCAGCATTTCCAGAGACCTGTGGGTTTCTCTTGCTCTCTTAACTCACGTGACCTTCCTCTCCTTACCGGGCCATTACACAGCTCTAGAGCTAGTGGGGAAACGGGGCTCCAGACTCTAGGAGCGTTATCCCTAAAAGCAGGGTTTAATTTTAAGTAAAAGCAAGCTACTTTCCAGGGGCAATGCTGGAGAAGACATAAAGATAAAACTTAAGGGGAAAATGTATGTATATATTTTGGGGCATATTCGTAATGTGGGTCAGGAATGGCCTCGAACTCACTAGCCACGAATGACGCTCTACTCCCAAGTGCAGGGATGGCAGGTGCCGTCTATGAGCTGCAAGGGTAGAGAATTTTAAAGGCTGCTAAACCTAACTAAAGACCGAGGGCCCCGCCGTTATGCAATACCGTCGAGGGAGCAAACTTCATGACTCACTTCCGTATTGCAAATTACTTTTATAGAAACTGCGAGCTGAAGACGGCTGGTATTCAGATCATGAGTACGTACTTCTTTCTATTTGCTCAGAAGTCTATCGATCTTAAATAACTAGCACCTGTCAAGGTCCCTACGTTCTCGTCTTCTCCAAGTGGCTCAACCTTTCTAAATATGGCCAGCGAGGCAACTTCTTGCGCATAGCTCGAAACACCTCTCCTACCACTCCTCCCTGGGCAGGGCAAAGTTAATTCCAGAGTAGCCTCCCCCGCATATCTCCGCTTCTCCTGCCCACTGTGATTCAAGGGGGAGCTCCCAACCCAGCCACTGGGTCCCCTCTGGCTCCCACATGGCCTCAAGCTCGGGACGCGCCCCCACCCAGCACCCCGTCGGTCCCGCGACTACACAGCTCTCCGGATTACTCGCTTTTCACCGACTTTATTGGCTGCGGGCTGCGGTGGGCTCTGCACCCGTCGGGTTCACTTGCTCTTCACCTTCTGGCTCTCCGTCTTCTTGGGCAACAGCACCGCCTGGATGTTGGGCAGGACGCCGCCCTGCGCGATGGTCACGCGGCCCAGCAGCTTGTTGAGCTCCTCGTCGTTGCGGATGGCCAGCTGCAGGTGGCGCGGGATGATGCGCGTCTTCTTGTTGTCGCGCGCCGCGTTGCCCGCCAGCTCCAGGATCTCGGCCGTCAGGTACTCCAGCACGGCCGCCAGGTAGACCGGCGCGCCCGCGCCCACGCGCTCCGCGTAGTTGCCCTTGCGCAGCAGCCGGTGAACGCGGCCCACGGGGAACTGCAGGCCCGCGCGCGACGAACGCGACTTGGCTTTGGCGCGCACCTTGCCGCCCTGCTTGCCTCGCCCCGACATGCTCGACCCCGCGCCCCGAGCTCCAAACACCGGCCGGCTCAGTTCCGGGACGCCGTGCGCCACTCCGGAACTACCTCGCCGAACTCTGCAGCCGCGGCCGCCTGTGACGGGCGGGAGCCGCTCCCAATCAGCTCGCCCGAGCAGAGCGCCCGCCTTCCCAGATGCGGCCCAATCAAAAGCGCAAATTCCTAGTCCTAATTTACATAGTTAACAGGTTTTTTTTCCCCAGTCCGATTGGAATTGACTGAAGGAAAGGGAGGTAAATGGATGATTCCTGTCTTGAAATCCCAGCACTAGGGTAGCCTAGGCAGGAGGATTGCCAGAAGCTTGAGGTCAGCCTTAGCTATTCTGAGATCCAGATCGGCCTGTTAGGAAGGGAGGGAGAGCGGGAAGGAAAAAAGAGGAATTTAGGAAAGCCTTGCATTTGGTACACGGCTATAATCCAGAAATTGGAGATGGAGGTCGTCGACCAGTGTTCCACCAAGACTGTAGAATACTCTAAAATAGACCCAGCGCTGGAGAAAGACTGCTTCGGCTTGTTCTTATATATTCAAATTCTAGGCCCGTGGCATTTGAAATAAAATAAGGTGTTTTTTATTTAATTAGTAATTATTTAATTGCCTTCCACTGATTCACTGAGGTAGTTCAATTTGCCACATTTTTAAAAAATTACACAACTGATGTAATGTCAAACGTTAAGTAAAATGCCATTTAACTAAAAGATCACAAATTTAACCTCTCCCTATTCTAATTACGATTTGATTTCACTGAGATAACGTTAACAGTGAGGTGGGGGCGCTGCTTGTGATCTTAATATTGAGGAGATAACAAACAGGAGGAGCAGTTCAATGTCATCGTTAGCTACAGAGGATCCGGTCCCAAACACAAAACACAAGCATACACACACACACACACACACACACACACACACACACACGAGGAAAAGCGGTGCTTACATGTTTTTATGTATGTCTTTATGGCCTAGCACACTGATGAATAAACAGTAGCTGGGGTCTCAAATACACCTATTTAAATCTGAGCAATGTATGTATTGCCACCATAAACGTGATCGGTCATCACGGAGCCAGAGAGCTTCCTCAGAATTCTGCCTTTACCACCTAACAGCTGACTTTGATACACTATTTAATGTCCGTGAGCATTCAACAGGTTACACACACACACACACACACATATCCGTCCTGTTGTATATCCATATATAAATATACAGTATTTATTTATGTATATACTGAGTCAATGCCTATGGAAGCCTCTCGTGCCGTTTTGGCAAGAAAGTACTAGCTTAAATTTGTGCTTATATCATCGAAAAGTCCTCTCCTTTTTTTTTTTTTTTTTTTTGGAGACAGGGTTTAGCAGAGTTTGAAAACATATTCAAGATGCAGCTTTGCCTTATTTATGTAACAATTTTCTAAAGAGTTAAGGATTTAAAATCATGGCTATCCTGGAACTCACTCTGTAGACCAGGCTGGCCAGCCTCAAGCTCACAGAGATCCACCTGCTTCTGCCTCCTGAGTGCTGGGATTAAAGATGTGCGCCAGAACTGCCCTGCGTGCTCAATCTTTAACAGACAGAGAGAACAGCAACAACTACTGTTTGAATTATGGGGATCGATGAAGATTGAAAAGCACTGTAGCTTAAAAGCATTTACAAGTATAAAACTTTAGGAAACCGTTTTCCTGCTGGGAAGCTGATCTTCAAGACTGCACACCAGCAACAATTTACTAAAATGCTCAGTCCTCAACAAGCTCATTAAACACCTGGGGAAGTGTGGTGACCCCC